CTTAAAAAAAAAAAAAAAAAAAATTAGTAATAGTAATAGTGGAGCTTCCTTGCGAGTACGATTACATACACACAATAATTAAGAGAATAGATATAAAGTACAAGTCAAAAATGCAAAATGTAAAAAACTTCACAAAAGTATAAAAGGTCTCTGGCCAAATGTCAGGGGTAAAAAAGAAGGCGGCAGAATAACCGCCATAATAAAAAAATAAAAAAAAAAAAAACCTACCTACCTACCTGTATGTAATCATCATCCACTGTATGATACAATAAAAGTGTTGCGTTGTGGTTACTGTTTTTTTTTTTTTTGTATTTAGGTACACGTAAAATAAACATAAAAAAATATTGATTACTTCCTATAATTATGAATTTCGAATTGCGTTGACTTAGTGTCAATAAAAGTATTTAAAATAATAGATGATAGATGACCTATATTATAAATGTCAACATAAAAACATTACGACATCTAAAAACAACGGATTTGACAACAATATGCTATTTGAAATATTAAATCATTCCTTGTTGCTACTTGTATGAATACAATACATTTGTTTATTTCAATATTTTTATTTAATAACATCATTTAACAACAGAGGGAGCTTATTATAATTTTATAAATTCTTTATTACAGAAAAAAAATGTGAATTTGCGTTATTTATAAGTTTGTAAACCGGACAATAAGCTATGTTATTCACAAACACAATATTATCTGTATAATAACATACATTTCATAACATACAATACGGGTTTAGTTAATACTTATTGAAAACTAGATGGCGTTGACCAATATTACTGGCCACCGAGAATGCAATAGATAAACATAAGTAAAAAGAAAACTGACATTAAATTGACGCGGAAAACAGTGTGAGATGGAAATAATATCGATGTATCAACATTTTTGTTTTGATTGTGTAATTTGTAAATATTAGTATGTAAACAACGAAATTAAACAAGATTAAAAAAAAAAAAAAAACACATGGTCCTTCGAGCCGGATTTGGACTAGTGTATGTAGTTTGGATATTGACATTCAGTTTTTTTCTTTGTTTCTTAAATATAATCAGCAAAAGGTAACGTGATATTTTTACCGGTACAAGTTTAACAAACATGAGTAATAAACAAATTAGATGCCAATAAAACGAAAACGAAAAGTACTTTAACGGTCAAACTCATTAGTCCAAGGCAATATGAAAAAGTACCTAATAACTACGGCGATAGAGTTTAATTACATGTGCTTCGATATTAAAATTAAAAAGCTTAAAGATTTAAAAAAAAAAAAAAAACAGTGGCTTGGGATTTGAACCGCCGAACTTACGTACCAACGGCGGCGAACCGTAAGGACACGAGAACAAACTAGCATATATGATGACAAACTTAAATTTGATGTTGGTTTTATCTACCTAATATCTGTTATCCGCGTCGAACACTTTTAGTAAATTTTGAAAAAAAAAAAAAAAATGTTTTGATGCAAAGTGTCAAATGAATGTAACAGAAGTAGTTTATTCCAAATTGTATCACAAGAATATAGAGATAGAGTTCAATTTTGTCAAATGTTACGATATTTTTGCGCACCTTGACTGCTTCGTTACTTATGACGCTCTGGCTGCTACGATATTTATGAGCATCTTGCATGTACTCATATATTTGACGCTGTGTATGTACCGATGTATTTGAGCAGGGTGAGTGTTTTTTTTTTTTTTTATAACAGAAGGGGGCAAACGAGCAGCGAGAACACCGAGGTGTTCAACGACGCCCATGGACACCAGCAATACCAGAGGAACCGCAGATGCGTTGCCGGCCTTTGAGGTGGTGATAAGCTCGCTTCTTGAAGGACCCTAAGTCGTAGCGGTTTGGAAATACCGCCGAGGACAGACCATTCCACAACGCTGCTGTGCGAGGCAGGAAGTTTCGCGCAAACCGCACGGTTGTGGATTGCCAGCCATCGAGATGGTGTGGATGGAACCTGGCGGTCTGTCGTGTCGTCCGATGACGGAACTCGGCGGCAGGAATCGTTCCAAACAATTCTTCAGAGCACTCCCCGTGGTATATGCGGTAGAAAATGCAGAGGGAACTAACGTCCCTCCGCAGTGCCAGAGTGTCGAGCCGATCAGTAAGAGCTCGGTCGTTGACGATTCGAATCGCTCTCCGTTGTATGCGGTCAAATGGAAGAAGCTGGTACTGGGGTGCTCCCGCCCAGAGATGTGAGCAGTATTCCATGTGGGGCCGAACTTGCGCCTTATACAGCTGAAGGCGGTGGCCCGGTTGGAAATACTGCTTCGCTCTGCTGAGCACACCCAGTTTTTTGGAGGCCAGCTTGGCCTTGTCTTCCAAATGACCGCGAAACTGAACGTCATTCGATATGTCAACGCCGAGAATACTGATACTGGCTGAGGCAACCAGGGGAGTGCCCTCGAAACGAAGATCCACGACAAAGGGCTGTTTTTTAGCGGTAATGGCGCATACTTGTGTCTTTTTGGGATTGAAGTCAACAAGATTTTGCCGACCCCAATCCGAAACTTCACCCAGTAGGGTCTCCAGTTCAGACACAAGTTTGGTCCGGTTCTCATCGGCAGAGGCCCGAGAAACGTTAGTGCGGGCCGTGTACAGTGCATCACCCGTGCTATCGTCTGCATAACAATGGATGTTGCTAATTTGCAGCATATCATTGATGTGCAGAAGAAACAGGGTCGGCGACAGTACACAGCCCTGTGGGACGCCAGCATTAATTGGTTTGGGGTCCGAGCATGCACCGTCGACAACGACCTTAATGCTCCGACCCTCCAAAAAGCTGGCAATCCAGGCGCGTAGTTTCTCGGGCAGCCCGTAGGAAGGCAGCTTCGAAAGAAGTGCTTTGTGCCACACCCGATCAAAGGCCTTGGCCACGTCCAAACTAACCGCCAGGGCCTCCCCCTTGCCCTCGATTGCCTCCGACCATCGATGCGTGAGGTACGCAAGAAGATCACCAGCTGAGCGACGCTGTCGGAAGCCGTACTGACGATCGCTAATCAGCTGGTGCTCCTCAAGGTACCTCATGAGCTGGCAATTGATGGTCGTTTCCATGACTTTCGAGAACAAGGTGGTAATGGCAATCGGCCTGTAGTTGGACGGGTCTGAGCCATCGCCTCTTTTTGGGATCGGGTGGATAATGGCAGTCTTCTGTATCTATTAATTTGAGGATTTTTGTTGTACCGATATAATTGATTACTTTTGGTGTACCGATATATTTGCATATCACGTCTGTTACGGTATTTATGGAGCTGACTGTACTATAGTCCGCTCGTGGCGAATTTTCAGCTTTCAATTTATTGCATACGAGGAAGAGTATGTTGGCACTTGGACAAACTAGATCGCGTTGTTTGGACACCGCTTAACCAATAGCGGAATTGGACTTGGAACACACCGGCAAGCCTTGTTAGCAAAGGAGTCCATCTATTTGAACATTTTTTTTGTTAGTGACGTACATACGTTAGCTTAATCTTGTCAACGTCTTTGTCATCATGGAAGCAATAAGTAATGTGCAACGCATATAATTTATATTCTACCATTGCCAAGGCTAAAGTAAACTTTAAGAAGTCAGCAAAATATAGAATAACAGTTTCTTACATTTAAACGAGATTAAAATAATTAGAAACTGATTGGTTATCTTTTTCTGACAATCATGTAAAAATTGTCAGTTCGGTTAAACCTAGCGAGTTTGATACTCATTTATACGATACGACTTATTTATACGAGACAAGCAGAGAATTGTATCTTGATTATAAGACTAACAGTGGTAGAGCCCGCTTTAACATCTTCGCACGAATTGTCCCGGCTCGCTCGGTGAAGTATCACGACCACACAGAAGACAGGCGTGAAGTGAAAGCATTTCCGCGTACAGTCTGATGAGTGTGCGTGTGCGGACTGAGAGAACTTCTTGATACATCTAAGGAATGTTTAAATGCATTAAATAATTAAGGCATTAAGGTTGATGACTGGGATATTTTCATCATTTATATTTAACGTCAAAAATTACGGCTACATTTGTATTAGAATATGTGAGGTTTATGTGAATATTTTTTGAGTTTAATATGTTTTGTCGTTATGTACGTATGTACTATAAGAGGTAGTAAAATAAGTAGACGAAATAATTAAAATGCAACCCAAAGACAGCATTTGACGCGGACGAAGTCGCGGGCGCAGCTAGTTTTAATATAAATTCATTCATAATCATTTAAATACGTATCTTGCTTAGTTACTTGTTATGTTTAATTTAAAATTGATTAATTACTTTACTAATCTCTTTTCCGCTGTTATCACTGATATCACCAACACGGAGCGCTACTGATGTAATGTTATCGGTCCTTAATCTTTTAATTTTTTTTCTTTTATGATTGATTGATGATTTCAAGGCAATGTTCTGCTTACAGCAAAGCATGACCGTGAAACTACAAAGAAATAATCTTTTTATGAAAAACGTTGAAACACATAGTGCATCTGCAACACAGTCCGGTACACAGACCAACACGCTTCGATGCACTTAGCCTGGGGTCAGATTAACTGCGTATGATGATATACTTATGTACTTTTAGGGGTTACAAGATGTTATGTGACATCTGCATAAAAATAGGCTTTCATTGCTTTTATCGACAACAGTCAGATATAAATCACACAAAAGAAGACTAGAGAGGTCGCGTGGTGCGCAGTGCGGCCTGTACTGGCATTCGACATCTTCAGGTACACGACACAAAAGTATTCAGCGATTAGTATTAGTAAAACAATGATTATCTCGTAGTAATAATGTAGAAAGATCACGCTGGTTACGCATAGTGTGTCTCAAAACAAACCAAACAATATAAATGACATCATTACCTATCGTTTAAGATCAATTTTATAATAATTCTGCACGATTAGCTTTAGTAAAGTTGGTAATAACTTGCTTATCAAACTATGAGTTGAGCGTAATTCGACGTTATCATTATTAATTACAATAATCGTTTGAAATCAATATAAAAGATGGGGTCGATGGTGGACGAGCATTATACTAGCCGAGCCCACCATGAAGCTGTTAGCGATTGTCTTGTGCACGGTGGTGGCGCTGGCCGCGGCGGAGGAGCCCATCGAGCTCGACTACCATGAGAACGTTGGTATCCCGAAGGCCGAGGCCCTCAAGCAGGCGGAGCTGGCGGCCGACTTCGACGGCTCCAGGATCGTCGGTGGGTCGCCGGCCGCTCTCGGCGCATACCCGTACATGGTCAGTTAAACACGCACACCCCCTGAATTCTTTAACTGTCGACTATTTCTTGAGGAAAATAAACAAATATAAAAGGCTAGTCGATTTCGCCGAGTTCTGAAGTAGCAATGCAGTCCCTCTTAAATTTATATATTTGACGACTCGTGTAATACCAAAGCTATGATATATATGTTAGACTTTGCGCAAGACAGGGCGGGCTGGTGATCGCGCTGACGGACGGGCGCACTTCGGTGTGCGGCTCCTCCCTTTTGTCCAACACGATCCTGGTGACGGCGGCGCACTGCTGGCGCACGCGCAACGCCCAGGCGAGCCGGTTCACCGTCGTGCTGGGCTCCGAGCGCCTCTTCTCCGGCGGCACGCGCATCAACACCAACCGCGTCGAGATGCACGGCAGCTACAACATGAACACCTTGCACAATGACGTCGCTATAATCACCATCAGTTCCGTCAGCTACAATAGTGAGCGCTTGCTAAAATTATCTTAATGGTCGATCGAAGACGAGGGTGTATCAATACCGCCTATAATAAATCTGATTTTCAGCATTATTTTTACCGTACGGTATTCAGTACAGCGTCATGTTCGACATTTATCTATCGTAAGTATCTACTGTAAGGAACAGATATGTATTAAGTATTGTAATTGCAGACAACATCCGCAACATCGGCCTCGCGTCCGGCAGCAACGACTACGCCGGCACCTGGGCCTGGGCCGCAGGCTTCGGTCTCACCTCGGATGGTAAGAAAGTTTTCTTAAACGAATACAAAACTTCAGGTATTAAGTACTTGGTACAAAACCAATGGATCAGGGACATCTTGTGTCCTTCCCGTGTCGACTCGCCAAATTTCTAATTGTATGTACATTTCGAAATTACCAAATTATTTACCTTTCTTTTGATTGTGACAGCACGTGTTCAAGTCGTTTTCATGGCATAATCGATCGTATCGTGGCATCTATTATACATGGGCGCGGATATAGAGCTGTGCGCTGCGCAGCTTGCACCCCGCGCTGCACCTACAACTGTGTCGGGTACAGCTGAGACGTATGTTGTGTTCGCCAGGTGGAAACATCGCCAACAACCAGTTCCTGTCGCACGCGCGCCTGCAGGTGATCACCAACAACGTGTGCCGGCAGACGTTCGGCGCCATCACCGTCATCTCGTCCACGCTCTGCGTCAGCGGCGCCAACCGCATCAGCACCTGCAGCGGAGACTCGGGCGGCCCGCTCGCCGTCGGCAACACTCTCGTAATGCTTCTTTACTCTTCACTATCATTCCTTTCACTTAAAGCTAAATTTTTTAAATTATTCTAAGATCCATTTCCACGCACGTTTCAAGTTATGATTATGATAAAAAAAATGTACTTTTCCGCTTAAAATCTACCTTATATAATTTTAATAATACATATTTTTATAATTAAGCTAAGTACATGCAAGTTTTGTTCCCTATCAAATTGTTGAGTGATATTTTGTTCGTCAGATCGGTGTGACGTCGTTCGGCTCGACCCGCGGCTGCCAACAAAACCTGCCCGCCGGCTTCGCTCGCGTCACCTCCTTCAACGCCTGGATCAGAGCCCGCATGTGAACTTTCAAACCGTTTAATGGATTACCAATAAAACGAATCATTTAATATCATGTTTTGATTAATATTTTCCTCATTTTATTTTTTGTTTTCACTATAAATATACTCATATTGATTGCCTGTACATACGTTAAACGTATCATATGATTTACGTGACCGGACGTCCCGTTTTGAACGAGACTGTCCTTTCTCATATCAACGTGTCCCGGAAATGCTAATTTCCAGTTATCATATAATTACATAATGTTCCGTTACCGTTAACTAAACATTTTACTCTAGTTTAGTTAATGTACATCAAACAAATACGTTCAATAGTTTTGGAGCCGACATGTAGTACCACTTTCCGCCAAAGGATGACTTTCTAATTAAAATTCATCTGCAATTGTTTCATTGCTCTGATTTGTGGAAAAATAAGTAGAGGTAAAATAAAAAAATATATATTTATTTTTAATTTCTTAAATAGCTTTTTCTATGACATAAACCTTAAGTTAAATGATGTGTCACGTATTAGTGTAATGTACATGTACATACAATTGATTGTTGTAATGGCGTTTTCACCGGGAATATGAACGTGGAAATGGCATTACTCAAGTACTATTATATAATGTGTCTATTTAAGATTGATTAGTTTAACAACTGACGCCTATAACGTATGTTATTAATTGTGTCGGACCTTTATACGCGCATTACAAACAAACAAACAAACAAACAAACAAACAAACAAACAAATACTATATCTTAGGTGTTTTATTACTTTTTTTTGAATTTATGCACACATTTTTAGCTATGTCTCTCGCAATTAACTAAAAAAAACATTAAAAACAGATTTTTGGTTTCTCAAAATCCCAATTGTTTTGTTAAATGTTTTATCTTTTTTCGTAGTTTTGCAGAAACATTTTAGATAAAAAGAAACAATATGTTTTATATTATAATTCAAAACAATAATCAGGAAATTTTCGATTGCAAGTTCTATGAAATGAATTTTCATAACCGATTTTAATCAACCAACCTCTATAGTACATTGTCAAACTAAACTATCATAAAATATATAGACAAGGAGTAAAGGTTTTTATCTGGATACTTGCCTCTGTGTAGATGTTCTGTGTAAAACGTTATACACGTAATTCCTGGACATGATGTAGCATCGGGTATCTCCCGATGGAAATAAAACGACTTCTTAGGAAGTTGACAATGCATATTGACAACTAACTTTATTCATCTACTTTCTGTAAACTGTCATTATCTATCTATTTGCCACACACATGTCACTGATATAACGCGACAAAATGGCGAACATTAAACAGGCACAAAATGCCACGTCATATAGCCTGGTTATTTATAGAACTCACTTAGCTCGATTGATTTAAAAATATTTTTTCCGAATGAAAGTCAACATGTATTGCTGTCATCTGTCACTAAAATTAAATTTTATTGAATTAACCACGTGTACTCATAATTAACGGTTATTTTAATGACAGTTTCGCCGAAAAAGCATTTCTCAAATGTAGCTTCCTCAACTGCTAATAGAGGAGTCGAAGCTAAGGAAATAGAAATAGTTAATATTCATTTAGGTTGTAGTACTTATCGATATGAGTGATGATAATTAGTCAACAAAGGCGACTATCGAACCCTTTCTGTGCGCAGTGAGTGGAGGCGGTGTACCGGGCAGCGCGCCGGACGGCGGGCGGCGCAGCCTCCCGCGCGTCTCATCGCCTTCCCCGCCCTGCCCGCCCTCCCCGCCGCGCACTCCGCCATCACCGCCCTCACCGCCGTCGCGCGATGATGCTGCTTCCTACATACAGGTAACACTTGGATGGACGTGACCTCGCCTCAGAACTTTTCTTTTACTGACTCTTCCTGCAGGTGCTGGTGCAGAAGCAGCGCCGGCGGCAGGAGAGGCGCCTGCCGCAGGTTTGCACTCCTCAGCGCCGCGCCGCTGCCGTCGCACTGTCCTCCCCGTCCTCCCCGCCCTCACCGGAACTCGTTAAGGATAAAGAAATTATAATGTCGGTATGTTGATCGGGTCTGATATGATATGATATAGGGTACTGTATAGCTGTAGAGGTTATAGCTTTAGTTTGCTTTCAGTACAATTCTTGGATCAAAGAACACAAAAAACTCCGACGTGAAAATATCCATAAACGTGTCCAACATAATAATAATTTCACTTATAATACTTTTAACTTAAATGTTACCGCAATTTGCATGAGCAGGTATCACACGACCAATATATACTTCTCGCTGAATGATTAACTAATTACTTGTTAGCCTAAAATCTTTATACAAGCACGTTACATCCGTTCTGATGTTAAAATTAAAGCGCATAGTGTCGCGAATAACTTTTTCCCAACTACATATGTAGAATGGATATAAGGCTTACTTCAGTAGTACCGAAGATTGCCTCCACTTGCCAAAAGATTACACAAAGAAAAAATAAAATTTCTATGGTCTGGAAAGATTATGAAACGTCTAACGATTCGTAGACCCATGTCCATGCATGGTTAAGTAAAGAGTTAGAAGTGTATAGAGGTTGTCTTATGTCTTGGTGGCTCAGAACATCTTAGGAATCGTTGCGTAGAACACAATTTTAATTGTAACGGGCGTGGAATGGTGCTGAGGGAGGGCATCGCGCTCCGCCCCGATGACCTCGTGCCGCCGAAAAAGCGAAAAGTATGTAGATCCTACATGCGTGAGACAGTAGACCACAAGTTTATTTAATCCAGATGTAAAGTTGAACATGGTTCTTTTACAATTTGAGTTGATTCTGGCTTTGTCTGGCTACGAATACTCAAAGTACACGGTTAAAAAGTTAGATCTAGGATATTGTCTGTAGAGAGCCCGAGATCTTATCACACCTTTTACAGTTCATCAAGCATCATATGGTAGTCGGGAAATAATATGTTTGTCAATTGACAATGACATCTGGCAGCGTCATATTTTGACCAATGAGGAAACGGCAGATACTTAGGTAAATGTTGCTATGTTTATGTTAAATATTGTAATGACGCGCAGTGCGCGCGGTGCGACGCGCGGTGCGCGTGCGTGTCTCGCGGCTCGTGGCCTGAGGCACTCCTGACCTGTCCGGCGGTGGCAGCCATGCACCACTCGTAAGTTTACAATTTTTTTTCCTAACTACAATCAATTATGTGTTATGAATTTTTATTTTGTCATACTACAGAACCTATAAAATGACAAATAAGTTATAATTGCTGCTAGTCGCTACTATAGTTGAATAAACGATAGTGGTATGTACAAAAGCGACAATCTTACCCTGGTTGTCAAAGATTAACTGTGTACCACATTCTAGTAAGTTTATTATTACAATGAATGTGGGACATTTTAGACCATAAAGATTATTTTCTATTTGATTATGTTGTGGAAGAAAATCGTTGTAAAATTCTTACGTAAAAATCAGTATTATCAATTCCAACATCACAAGATTTTGAAAAAAAGTTGTAAGCGAAGGACAGCATGCTTTTGTAAAAGGCATTGGGGAATGAAAGAACTTATCCAGGCTGAAGATTATGGTAGCTCTTACACATTGACATATGAGACGTGCGTCAGGTGCGAGGCGGGACGCACCGAGCACGCCGGGCACGCCGAGCACGCGGTGCACGCGGGGCACGCGACGCGCACGGGGCACGCGGCGCGCACGGGGCGGAGCGCCGGCTGCGAGGGCGATGCGCCACTGCCCCCCACTGTCGGTACCCATTAGTTTACTCTTTCTAAATTCCTAGTATTCCGACGGCTCCAAATACACTGAATCAACTGTACTTTTAACAATTTTTTAGAAGAGCGATTCGATGTTGCCAATAGTTGTAACCTTATGACTTATAACATGTTATTACAATCAAAAAAAGATTTAATCATAGTGAGCCTATTAAGAGGGCAGAATAAATCTTATGTTACTTTACTAATATCTAAGATAATTGGAAATAGGGGGGATGGCGAACCTTTACGTTTCAATATACTCTTTTTAACGGAGTATTTAATGTGGTCATAGACGTCCCATCATTTAATGCTGCCTTCTTCATCACTCGTGTTCGTTTCTTATTTTGTAGCGCATTAGGAAAGTTGTGATGAGCGGCAGCACATTAATATAATGTATGTGAAATCATTGAATTTGCAGTTTGCAGGCGACAATGTAGGAACATAATCTTAACTTGTAAGTTATTTTAATTGTAACATATAATTGTGAAAGTGCACTTCATTCAATTTGGAGTGAGTTTGAGAATACTATATCGTAATCAAAAACTCCGTTAACTGCTAACTGCTTCAAATTGTAATTCTTGTTAATGATATGTCGGTATTGTAAATAACATTAACGAAGTTTAGTTATTTCATAAAAAATCATATAAAATCATGCAAATACACCGCTTTTCTCTTTATCATGACGTAGTTTTTACTTTGTTTTTCCCCTTTAAAAACCGGAGCAGAGTGTAATGACCAAAACTTAATGTACAAGATTTCAAAGTCTCGATGACCGTAGTAAATAAAATACAGGTCGGGTGGATGAGTCATTTCTAGTGTTTCTATTTAAGATAGTTAATAGTTTGACAATTGTAGTGTTTTTACTTGTACTCCCCCTCCCCCCACCCCCCACCACTCATAGCTAGTGAATCAGCTATGGCTACAGTTAAATCGGTTAAGAATTTTTTTGATTTTCGATGTTTGTTCTCATAGAACTTGCAATCGAAAATTCATGATTATTGTTTTTGAATTACAATATAAATCAAGTTGTTTCTTTCTATTCCTACTTTATCCTTCATAACTACATAAAAAAATAAGATTTTACAGCAAAAATTGCGGTGTTGCCGAACAAAAAAGTTTTTTTTTTAATTAATCGTGCTATACATAGCCAAATAACTGTGATACATTAAAAAAGTTATTAAAAACCTCAATTACAGTACCTATTTGTTCGGTTAATTTGAATACAAGACCGATTCTCGATTGTTCACAGTTATTGTGTGTGCGCGGCGCGACATTTCGGCACTATGACAACCGTTCATTTACTTTAATCCTCATACAAAATTAATTCGATATTTTATAGGTGTCAGTTGTCAAACTAATTTATCTAAAGTCACTGTTTGCGTTGAAGAGGCATTTACAGCTTCACCGGGCTTGAGGAGGCCGAGCGCAGGTGGCGCTTAGCCTGAACCTCGTTTAAGAGGAACAAGTATCGAGGGCTCAGGAGCCTCGGCTCGGGCTGTTACTTCGTTATATCGCTCTCTTAGATCGCTTAGGTGGACGCTCCATGGAGTGACTGGACTCAAGGGTGCCCGAGAGGGCCGAACCTCGGCTGGATCGGTTGTTATTATCTGATTGCTAAACGATATAGTTAGCGCTAGGCGCATTCACATAACAACAATAAAACGAAACGCTTGTGTGAATTTATGCAGCGAAGCGCCATCTAGTATATCTCAAAACGAAACTCATATTTATTTATTTACATGGAAAACTTACAGCTATAATAATCTTATTAACTATAGACTAGACAACTGAGAGCCAATGACAAGTCTTCACTTATAACAATATTATATCTATATTACATTGTAAACATTGCCGTTTTTACACATGAACACTTGGGTATTTTAGGTAACATTGAGCTTCGCTATTATTTTTGTCTAGCGTTGCCATTTCACCAAACATAACAGCCGGACAGACCAGCCAGTTTGGCCGAACATTTGAGTAGAAAAGCCGGACATGCTGTGCTAAATTATTGAGGCCACTTACGTTTGCGAAATGTAAAAAGCCTAAGAAATGCCGTACAACCCGGACACCGTTTACTTTGGGCGGACACGTAATCACAAAGCCAACCTATGTCCGGCTACATCCGGACGCCTGTCAACACTATATACGACTTTACGATGGCGGCGTTGACCATGATACATATCTACGTATTCTAACGCAACAACTGTTTGATGAGTTTTCATTATGTACGATAATGACGTCTAATAATATAATATATTATTTTCCATGTAATAACATTTTCCAGAAACGAAAACTTTCTCTGTGGCAGAGAGTGAGTGACGTTACTAAGCTGGGAGCATATTTGCATTTTGACGGTGAGCTTGTTTCGCTTCTAGCATTACCATTTTCGAAAAGCATTTTTTTATATCATAAGGTGGCAAACGAGCGAGCGGGCACCTGAAATCGCTGAAATAGCGAAGCGACCGTTGCCCAAAGACATATGTAATTGCAGATTCGTTGCCTACCTTTAATAGACGGAGGATAGGATGCACAGATAGAAAAAAAATTGCCTTCCCATGCATCTTCCCTCATCTGGAAAATCCACGTCCACTTCCCATCTTTTTTTTAAAAGAATTATGGAAAGGGAAGGAGGCCTAAAATTAGACCTTCGGGAAGTACACTTATCAGACCAAAGCTGACAAAATATAAAAATGATGCTTTGTCAGCTGCTTATTTCGATAATTACTCAAAGGGTTATCATCAATTACCAATATTACCTTATTAAAAAATTGAGTAACCATTTCTATGAGGAAAAAATAAAGTCAATGCAATTATACTTATAGATATGCTTATAGTTAAAGATAAATGTGCCTGGGGTTAGTTCGAGCTTTTTAATATGTAGCAGTCCTCTTATAAAAACTTTAGGTCCGGAGCGACTAGACTTATATCATTTCGAAAGCGGCGTCTGGATGCTGAGTGCGCGAGGCGCGGCGCCCACGAGGCTGGAGCGCGCCGTGCGGCGGCGTGCACAGCCGGCGGTGCGGCTGCTGCGCGAAGTAGGCGCAGCGCTGAAGCTGGTGGGCGCATTGCCGGGCGCGCTGCTGGCGGCGGCCCTTAGCGCGGCGCTGGCGGCCGGTCGCGACGCCGCGCTGGGTCTGCTGCAGGCGCTGTCGGACGGCGCGCTCAAGCCAGCGCTGGTAGTGTGCTTCAACGCGCTGCTACGGCCGGCTCTCGTTCTTACGGCGCAGACGACGCGCGCTCTGCGCGAGGCGCTGGCGCCGCTGTGGCTGGCGGCGGGCGACGCGGTGGCGCCGGCCGTGCGATTGTTGGCCGCCGTGCGCCTCGTGAACGTGGAGCGCCGGTGCGGCTGTGAGTGCGCGCGCGCGCCAGCCGCAGTGTGACGCTCAGCTGCTCCGCACAATCGGGCGGAGGAAATCACCCGCTGCTTTTTATGAGCTATTTCCGTTGCGGACTGTGCGTTACATTCTCTTCCTCGCATATAATAATACTAGCTGTGCCCGAAATTTTTTCCGCTGCTTGAAATCCTGTCTTTGGGTAGCATTTTAATTATTTCGGCTACTTATTAAACTCAAAAAATATTCACATACACCTCACATATTCTTATACAAACTTTCATCCCACATTCCCTATTGTTATTTTGCACCCTTTAAGGTAATATTTTTTTTACAAAAATTTAATAACATATTTATATCCAATTAACAGCCTAAAAAATTATTTTTAAGTTTCTTAGTGAAAAATGACGATATTCTCATACAAATTTCCACTCCTTACAACACCTTTTTCGCGTTA